TAAAAGAAAGGGGGGGGGGGGGGGGAATCTATGAACTGGAAGTTAAAGAGTATTTTTCTTACAGGAAAGAGTTTATTCAAAATTTCCTGACTGAAGAAGGTAGGGAAATCATCTCACATTTAGAAGACAAAAGGGGTGAAGGAGAAGAGCTTACCCTTAAAGAGAATCTAGTATTGCATGTGGTTGGAACAAAGTCAGTGAAAGGCAGAGAGAAAACAATGTTCAGTGTTTCTCCACAAGCTGCTAGATAAACTGGAAGAAAAGAGGAAAAAGAAACAAAAACAATGTGTAAAAATTACACTCTATTTTGTTCTTAGGCAAATTATCAAACATACAGGTAAAAATAATGAAAACATATTTAAGAACTCATAGCATAGAAAATTGCCATTTTAGGTACTGTGTATTTAGAGTACATTGTACTAAATTATTCTGAAAGTATTTGCTCCCTACAGCTTCTCCTTTCTAGAAAGACACTGTACCTAGCACAATTAAATTGCACATAAACAATAAAAACAACTGTAACTAATGACTTCCTTCATCTCTTCACACACCAGTTTTTGGACAAGAAAACACACATTGCAAGTTCCTCAGGCTTCTGCTAAAGCAGTGAGCCTTATTTTTAACTAGAACACAATTTCATGATTCTAATCCACCATTATCTTTCTATGTTGAAATTATAAGATTCTAGTCCAGTGTTGTGCTGATTTTGGTTAGGACAGGGTTAGTTTTCTTCACAGTAGCTTTACAAGGCTCTGTTTTGGATTTGTGCTGAGAAGAGCATTGATAACACTAATGTCTTAATCTGTTGCTAAGGAATGTTTATACCAAGTCAAGGACTTTTCCAGTTTCTGATACTGCCGCTGTGTTCCCAGCTGCTTTTCCACCAGAAACCGGGAGGGGACACAGCCCGGACAGCTGACCCAAACTGACCAAAGGGACATTTCATGCCTCAAACATCATGCTCAGCATGTACGTTGAAGAGTTGGCCAGGAGGGGAAATTGCTACTCAGGAACTGGTTGACCTTCATTTGGCCAGTGGTGAACACTTGTATAATTCGGTTTTCCTTCCTTTTTCCCCTTTTTAGTGTTTTATTACATATTATTATCATTACTAATAGTAGCAGCCGTATTCCATTACACATTATTATTAGTATTAATATTATTAGTATAATTATTTTATTTCACTTACTTTCAATTATTAAACTGTTCTTATCTCAACCTACGAATTCTCTATATCCTTTTCCTTCAATTCTCTCCCCCATCCTACTGAGGGAGAGGGGGGAGAGAGGGGAGAGGGGAGCAAGCAGCTGTGTGGTACTTGACTGCTTACTGGGGCTAAACCACAACAAGTGTAGATCACTGAGATATGTATAAATCAAACTGCACACTAGAAATGATGGCTTTCCGAAATGTACCTCTCAGTTTTGTTCACAATTAGCGGCGTTATCTTCTGTTCTGAAATGAAGAGGAACTGACATTTCTAGTTACTCGGAGTTTGAATGATATTTCTCCAACATTACTTAAATTCATCCCTGAGTGAATGTTTTCAGTTAGTTTACCGAATATTATGTCAAGACCTGACGGTTGCTCTCTGCACACTGTTGTACTAAATCAATGATTCAAAGGGTCTTGAAAAATGAATGCTAAAACATGATCTAGAACTGCCCTTTCCTCAAAAAGGCATGCATTTGTACTAAGTCAGTTAGAGCTTACAACAGTTCCAGGACGGTTTATGCACATCTACAGTAGCAAGATGGGCAGCTATCACTGACCGTAATTTTTCTAGTAATAAAACTGTAATTCTTGTTCTCTCCCTATATATACACTTGATATTTTGTACATATTTTCTCTAGTATGTACTCTTCTTCCAGATTTAAAAAAGCGATCTCACCATTTTCCTGTTGTTTGGTAGAACAGTCAATCCAGTTGTGTTGATTTGCTGCCCAAATCATTTCAAACTGATGAAACATGACTTTAAAGTTCCACATATAAGGAACAAATGAAAAAATATCAGGTGCGCTGTCACTGGACCAGTCTTGGATCAAATCTAAACCCACATAAAGTAATAAAAGACAAGTTAGTAGCAATCAAGTGAGAGATATCTGGGTTTAAGTTTTTGGCTTTTCATAAATTGTAATCTTAACTGTTGGTTCCATTACAGAAAAAGGAAAATGAGAACAATACGTGGTATCCATTTCTCAGGCAGATATTCCACAAATACTTGCTGTGCATCTGTCTCCCATTTCTCACCTGCTTTTTAAGTTGGAAAGCCATAGGTTTAACATAAGTTTTCTACTTTAGTTTTCTTCAGTAGCAGTTACACTTTGAACTAAAAGCACTGGACTACCAATTGCTTCCTTTGGTTTTTCACTCTGATCCTCTGAATGTGTGCTTCAGGAATGTTTTCTAACACAGCACAACAGCGGCGTTGTAAAAGTTACTGTGTGCTCTGAATAGACTGGGAAACTATGCAGCATATTGCAGCACTCCTCAGACAATGGCTCTGGCCTAACTAGGAGGATAACTTAATTAGCATGGCACTCTGCCTGCACTAATTAATCCTTCCTCCCAGCAGAGATAATTAGCCGAGGCATTGCCACATTGATGGGGCTATATTCTTTCCATTGCTGCAGCTGGAACATTCAGCAACAGTTTGGTGATGCTGTATCACACTGTACTGCCTTGTGCGCATGTGTTCTTCCTCACAGACAAAATCCTAAGGAGCACATTACTTTCTCTCATCATCAGCCACAGGGACATGACCTAAAGCCCAAGTAGCTGAAAATAGGTCAGCCAAAGAGAGAGATACTGGAGAAAACATCAACCTAGGTGACAAACATAGAACAAATCAATAGCTCTGAGAGAAATAAATTAATCTGAAACATAAGCTCACTTAAAATAACTGCAGATCAGATGTAGTTTAGATGTTAGAAAATGTAATTATTTGGTCTCTCTTCTCAAATACAAGAATATCATGCACTTAGGACACTTAGAGGCAACAGAAAACATCAGGAACTTTTTCCTCGGAAACAATTTATTGTCCTAAATATGTGAAATCAGAGTACCTGACCTTGCACACCTTTGCAAAATCTGAAAGGAAGTTGTAAAGCAGTAATATTTAATTTGATATGTAACTTATTTAGCAAAGAAGTTACCTGTAAAGAAGCTTTTCTGAGCAAAGATGAAATGATAGGTTGCTTTATAAACCTCAAGTTCGCATTGCCATGTCTGTGGCATGTTCCATATCCGGGGATAGCTGGCATTAATATGAAACTGTGAACAAGATATTAAAGCATCGGAATTACTTGCAAAGACAACCATGTTTGACCCTGTAACTCAGCAGTTTTCACATATGTACTCTGTTGAATAATTAAAACTCTTTTCCTGCTGGGATGAACAGAAGGTCTCTCCAGTTCCTTAATAATTTAATCTCTCTCTGTTTCCACGTTTGAAGGTCAAGAGCTAGTGTATTCATTTATTTGCAGAGGTATACTATGAACTTCTGATACATCTGCTGCAGTAGACGTTCCATACAATTTATAAACCAAAGCTTTCATGAAAGGCATCACTTTTCACAATACACTAAAAATAAGATCCCTCAGACTGTATTACTTTTCAACCATTGATACGATGCTCAAACTTTGACATTAAAAACATCGCTGTAATAGGGTCATTCAAAATCTAGTGAGAAGGGTGGTCTGCAGAATTCCAGTATTGCAGAAGCAGCAAACAAAGGAATAATGCAGTATTCTGTCTCAAGTAGTTTAAGCACTCTGAAGTACTTTTAAGTACACATGCACACACATTCTGCAGCACAGCTAGTGAGTGTAATCACTGATTAAAGCAAAGCCTATATGACCACATGGCTCCATAGCAAACAAGGCAAGATTTGTAAATGGCACTCCAATCCCTCCACTGCTTCCAATACACATAGGATTTGGTATATAAATTATCTAAGTCACTGAAAATTACACATGTGCATAGTTATGCGTGGATATACAAGTTCCTCACGTATTAAAAATGCAAAAATACATTCAAAAGGCATATTTTCATATTGTTCAAGAACCTAAAGAACTGATCCACAGACAAATAGACACATTCTTTATTAAAAATCCTCTAGAGACTGAAGCTTTGTGCTTATAAGTACAAACTTACAGCTAGCATTTCAGCTTCTAAGAGAGTCCGGTACTGCATACTGCTGGTGGCATCAACATGAAGAAGCTGTCCTTTAATTGTAGGTGAATAGCCTAGCAGAGAAAGGACATAAAACACAATCCTTCAGACATAAACAATACACAAATATAGAAATAATCTTCACCAGTGATCTCAGCAGTCCACTAACAATCAAGAAATATCATGATGGAAATTAATACTATAACAACTCTGTCCTCCACTATTTGACAATGAAGAGCCTAACTTGTTCTGCCATCCTGTAAAGGGATGACAACAGTCATCTTACTGGGTCTGGAAATGCTCAGGCTCTGGAGATCTACCTTTAAGTTGCAGAACAAAACTCAAATGTGCCAGAAAGAATCAAAAGAACAAACGATTTAGCAAAAGGCTTCAAAGCAGCCAACTAGATGAGCAAATGCAAGGAACATACCTATAATTTTACATTTATCTCCACTTACCCTTGGATTATGAGGTTTGTTTTCTTCAAACAAACTACTATTAAAAGAGGTTTCGTAACAGATTTCTCAGCATGATGCAGCTACTACACTAATCCTACCAAAGAGGTCTTCCTACTTTGAGCTGACAATGTATCTGTAACCTGGTTCAATACACACACAATTAAATGATAACTGTCTAGTATTAAAGGAATTTGTGTTTCCTAACCCAAACACAGCATGTAGGTACTATTTAAATATGTACATGTTTTAATATCTTGAAATGAAATACACAATGAAATATTTTTTTATCCTTTACGTAAGTATATATATCTTAAAGTCACAAAGGAAAAACACTAAAAGACACTCACACACATGGGAACTAAGATAACTGTTTTGGAAAAGTATTAGGAAAACAAATTAAGCTTTAGCCTTAACTCACCATTTTCACCTACTGTCATGGGAATATTTATTTCCAAATACGATCCTGCACCAACATTTACATGTACAGCATTAGTTTCCTGTATTGCAAGAAAGGAAAAAAGTCCAAACATTATTTCTAGGGTCTCCACACCAACGAGTGTACTGCATGCCTCTGGCTGTCACTATCCACACCTGGATTAAGGCACCAGATGACTGAAGTCTTTCTGGCCTTCAGAAAAATTACTAATGAACTATCTATATGCAATGAAACCAAATAACACCATTTTTAGGCTTGACATGCTGTCTTGGATTCACTACTAGAAAGAGCGTAAAATACTGTGACCCAAGGCCTAAGAGAGCAGACGAACTTGTATTTCTAACACTACACTTCCTAACCCTTTCGAGTCACAAAAAAAGAAGATAACAGGTGTACAATGAAGTCACTACAACCCATTTATAACAGTAGCAACAGAGGAAAGAAAACACCAAACCCCTACACACACACATCTTTTGTTCCCTTCACTATCATCTCTCCAGTAATATTGGACACTCATCCAAAATCAGAAGAAATTATCTTTTCATCATAGTGAGCTTCATCGTAACGAAAGATCACACAGATCATGAACTCCCAAGATTGTAGGAGCTGACATAGCTTAAGATGTAGCTTTATGGTTAAAAGAAACTTAAGCCAACAAATAGGAATGCCTCTCAGCCAGTTTTTCTCCTTGAAGGGTTTGCCCATAGTTATGGAAGACTAAACCAAAAATCTCCTAGCTTTTAAAAACATAGTTTTGTAATAAACACCTGAGACAAGTAAATATATGCACAACTGAAAAGCACAGTGTAATAACAGTAGACAAGTTATTTTCTAGATAAGTTTTCATTATTTACCCTATTTTTGGTAAAAAGCAAATCAATGGTGGCATCTGCAATAATATTCATCCGCAGTTCAAAAGCGAGGATCTGTCTTGGTTTCCCAGGCTGAGCAATTTCTGAGACTTTCATAACTTGGTAGTCCGGTGGGAAGAAGAACTTCCACAAGCAATCCCTAGTGGGAAAGAAAAAAGAAAAAAAAAAAAAACCACGAACAAAACACAAAAGTTGGTTTTATTCAGAGAAGAAATATCTATGTAAGCACATATTTGGTTCACTTATTTTTTTTCCAGTTAGCCGAGTCTTTAGGCAACCACTGGATGTGATATAAAAAGAACATTTGTTTAAAGTCTTCATCATGGGGGCCCTTCCAACTCACCAATGAAATCTTCAAAAGCTTCAGTGCCAAGATGTGACTTTGAATAACAGCCATAAATGGACAGACCATAAATGATTCAGACAAAAAAAAATATTTTAATTCAGATGTCAAACGAGGTATGGTTTTCTTATTCCAAATCTCTGATTTACACATCTGACACAAAAACGTATTAAGAACTAATGTTTATGCTTCGGTTTGTGCATAAATAATTGATGCAAAGCCCAGAAATAAACAACATACAAAACCTTAGGACCTCAGAACAGGAGTGAAATGAAGCCTACATTTCTGCAGAATCCCATCTGAACGTGCAACTGCATGGAAGGAAAGCCACAGCAATGAAGCACAGACAGCATAGCTTATAGAGGTCTCAAGGGGACGTGAAGTAAATCGTTAAGGAGGGTAGCAGTTTCCTGCACCCAGCACCTGACCATGATTGAAAAAACAAAGTTAAAAAAAAAAAACAAACCAAAAAAAACAACAAGAAAAACAACAACAAAACCCTCACCAACCGCACACAACACACACTGTCAAAACGCAGGGTCAATCCAAGGTTTTACTGTACGGTGTACTAAGGATCGGTATTTGTAGAAGCCCTTACATGAGCTGAGAATACAAAGGCCACATGAACCCCACAGTTTTTTAACACGTTCAAGCACTTTCCAAATTCTATCTTCTCTCCATGGCACAATGTGAAAGTGTTCCCAGTTATGTATCTGTGGGCGCTGCACAGGCACCAAACTGCCCTCTGCCTAGCCCATTCAAGTTATAAAAAGTATACCACCACAGAGCTAGCTTTCTCGGTGGTATTAAAAATATCATTCGTGATCCACTGACTTCATGGACTCAGCAAAGCACTGTTCTAGAAATTGGCATTTTCTCTTAAATTCTCTAAGACACTGTCATATCTAATGACTACGCTTTGGTCCGCCATCCTCACACTCCTAAGAGACAGTTAATCATAATAGTTTCACAGGAGAATTAATGGAGGCCAAGAGAAGTATCAATCTATAATTAATAGGGGAACAGAGGGAAAGTGCTGCTTATGTCACTTTTACTTAACAGTCCTTCACTCTCTAAACAATCCCACTGCCTCCGCCAGAAATACTGACGCACCAAACACCAAGGGCTAAGTAAAGAATAGTGGCAAAGCTCTGGCCTAATATTGTGTCAATAAGATATCTAGAAAACAAGTACTTTAGAGACCACATCAAGTGGTTGATTCTCCTAAGCAGGGTTAAATGATTGCCCTCTCATTATTTCAATAGCCAGAGATTTGTACTGCCACAAAATTTTCCCATCAATACGCAGTGTATTCCCATCCATGAGCTAATAGGAGTCTGACAAGTGTAAAAGTAGTCAATTAAAAGGTTAAACCTTTAGGCGTGTAACACCTGATAAATATTAAAGCAACTTTGTTCACAAAAAATTGGAATATAAGTTATTAATTTCATAATAAAAAATTCACCAAAGTTAGGTGATCCTAACTTTGGAAGGCCAACAAGACAAACAACAATTAATTTGCTAATTGTCAACATTTACTAAATTAAGTGGTACTTAGTCACTAGCTGGGATTAAACCACGATGCTAATATTAAACCACTGTGGCAGAAAAGCACACCTGATCAACACATGGCTTAGAGGCTGGTGCCAATGGTGGAATTTTGGGGGTTTTTAATCATAGGGAGGTTTACACGGCACTGGGCCTGCTGGTGACAGATGGCATTCAGCTGTCCCAAAGGGGGAAAGGTTTCTTGCCTGTGAATTGGCAGGGCTCATCAAGATGGCTTTAAACCAGGTTGGAATGGGGAAGGGAGCAAAACCAGTAGTGACACCAACAGATGCCCGGAGCCTGGAGAAGAATCACAGGTCACCAGGAGAGCTCCTGGCAAATGAAACAACGTTTAAACCAGGTTGGAATGGGGAAGGGAGCAAAACCAGTAGTGACACCAACAGATGCCCGGAGCCTGGAGAAGAATCACAGGTCACCAGGAGAGCTCCTGGCAAATGAAACAACGCAATTGCAGCTGCTCCAGTCAGCAAGCCAACTTCATCGGGGGCCCATCTTAAATGCCTCTATGCGAACGCACGGAGCATGGGAATAAACGAGAGGAGCTGGAGGCGTGCACACACATGAGGGGCTGTGATCTTCTTGGCATCGTGGAGATGTGGTGGGATGGCCTCTATGACTGAAGTGTCAGAATGGAAGGATACAGGCTCTTTGGGAAGGACAGGCAGGGGAAATGTGGAGCGGGTGTTGCTCTCTACATCAGAGAGTGTCTGGAGTGCATGGAATTTCACCTGCGGATGGGTGAGGAGCTGACCAAGAGCTTATGGGCCAGGGTCAAAGGGAGGGCAGGGAGAGGGGATACAGTAGTGGGAGTTTGCTACAGGCCACCTGGCCAGGACAAGCGAGTGGATGAGGCCCTCTGCAGGCAGATCGCAGCAGCCTCACGTTCACATACCCTGGTCCTCATGGGGGACTTCAACCACCCCCATATCTGTTGGAGGGACAACACCACAAGCAGGCCAGGATGTTCCTGAATGCGCTGATGACAACTTCCTTATCCAAGTGATAGAGGAGCTGACAAGGAAGGGTGCCATGCTGGACCTTGTTCTCACCAACAGGGGGGGCTGGTGGGGACTGTGAAGCTCAAAGGCAGCATTGGCTGCAGTGAGCATGAGATGGTAGAGTTGGTGATCCTTACAGAGGCGCAGGGGGTGCACAGCAAGCTCCCTACCCTGGACTTCAGGAGAGGAGAACTTGGACT